AAAAAAAAAGCTGTAACCATACATTGACAGAGAACTTCCAGAGGTTCAAGCCGGATTCAGATGAGGATGTGGAACAAGGGATATCATTGCTGACATCAGATGGATCTTGGTTGAAAGCAGAGAATACTAGGAAGATGTTTAGCTGTGCCTTATTGACTACACAAAAGCTTTCAACTGTGTGGATTATGACAAGCTATGGACAACATTGTAAAGAATGAGTATTCCGGAACACTTAGTTGTGCTCATGAGCAACCTGTACATAGACCAAGAGGCAGTTGTTTGAACAGAACAAGGGGACACTAAATGACTTAAAGTTAAGAAAGGTGTGCGCCACCAGGGTTGCATTGTTTCACTATATTTATCGATCTGTATGCTGAACAAATAATCTGAGAAGCTGGATTATATAAGGAAAAGGGGGCATTAGGATTGGAGGAAGACTCATTAACAACCTGTGATATGCAGATGATGTAATCTTGCTTACTGAAAAGTGAAGAGGACTTAAAATTCTTACTTAAGAAGATCAAAGACTACAGCCTTTGATACGGTTGCATCTCAATGTAAAGAAAACATAAATCTTCACCACTGGGCCAATAAACAACATCCATATAAATGGAGAAATAATTGAAGTTGTCAAAAGACTTCATTTTGCTCAGGTCAACCATCAACACTCATGGAAGCAGCAGTCAAGAAACCAAAGGATGTGTTGTTTTAGTCAAATGTGCTGCACATGATTTCTTTAAAGTGTTGAAGAACAAAGATGTCAGTTTAAGGACTAAGGTGCACCTGACCCAATTCATGGCATTTTCAATAACCTCATATGCATGCAAACGTTAGACAGTGAATAAGAAAGACCCTGGTAGAATTGATACATTTAAGTTATGGTGTTGGAGGAGAATATTAAAGGTACTATGGACTTCTAAAAAAAACCAAACAAATAGATTGATGTTGAAGAAGTACAATCAGAATGCTCCTTGGAACCAAGATGGACAGATTTTGTCTTTCATACTTCAGACATATTATCAGGCAGGACCAGTCCCTGGAGAAAGACATCATGTTTGGTAAAATGAAAGGTTAGAGAAGAAGAGAAAGACCCCCAACGAGATGGATTGGCACAGTGGCAGCAGCAAAGGGCTCACTCATAGCAATGATAGTGAGGTTGACCCAGGTCTGGGCAGTGTTTTGTTTTATTGTGCAAGGGTCACTATGAGATGTTACTAATTCGATGGCACCTAACAATAAGATCAACACACCTAAACCTACCTACTGCCATCCAGTTGATTCTGACTTACAGCAACCCTGTATAGGGTTTTCAAAGCTGTAAATCTTTCTCTACAGACTGGCTGGTGGGATTAAACTACTGACTTTGCAGTCCACTGCTTATTCTACAGCACCACCAAGACTCCTGTTATAGATAATATGTATATAACACATATATAAGGTGCCATCGAGTTGACTCTGATGCATAGCAACCCCAAGTATAACATAATGAAATACTTCCAGGTCCTGCACCATCCTCAACCTTGCTATGCTTTAGCCTATGTACATTGTCCTGAAATAATGGTTATCTATGGGTGGATGTATGGATAGACTGATACACATGCAAGCTGAATGACAGCAGGAGGGACAGTGAGAATGTACCCACAAATATATATAGGTTTGACAGAGGTTATCTGTACATGAAAGTGGTGGAGCATACATGGGACACAGTTATGAAAATTTCTTAGACATAACCCAACACTTTGCGGGAACAAGTTGCTGGGCCTGGGAGTTAAGGACCATAGTCTCAGGGGACACCAAGGTCAACTGGAATAACATAGTGCACAAAAACAATGTTTTACATCTTACTTTGATGAGTAGTCTTAAATGCTTGTGAGCAGCTAGTTAAAGTGCAGGTACTGGTCTCATCCTGTCCAGAGGGGTAAAAATAATGTAAATCAAAGACACATGGAAACAATCAGTACAATGGACTAATGGACCATTTGAACATCAGTGGCTACAATCCAGAGACCAGAAGAACTAGATGGTCCCCTGCTACTACAAGTAACTGCTCTGAAAGGGATCACATTAGAAGGTTCTGTATATAGTTAGAGAAAAATGTGGAACAAAATCATAAAAAAGATTCAGTTTATCGACCTGTTAGAAATTGGTGGGACCCTGAGATTATGGCCATTGGTCACTGTTCAGGTCTGACAATGAAATCACCCTCATGGGTCAAGTTTCAATCAATAATAGACAAAATGTCAGTTTTGGCATCTTCAAGGTTTTCAAATTGTGTTCCTTTTAAACATTCTTTTAAGTCTGAAGGTACAAGATCAGGGCTGTAGGGTAGATGGGATAAGGTTTCCCAAAGAAATTCTCTTAGGATAGATCTTGCTACCCCTAAAGAATAATGGAAAACAGTTTCTTCAGTGCAACTTGACTGGCCTTTATCTTAGTAATATAGTCTTTCATTGTCTTAAAACTTCTTCTTAATAAGCCCCCATGATTATTATGTTCTTTTGAGATAAATCTATCAATATGATCACTTTAGAATCCCAGAAAACAGTTGTCATCGCCTCACTGCCTTGAATTTAACAGGCCCAGCAGATTCAATGTTTTGATTGAACCTTTTTTGGAAGGCACCTTAATGAGACTAAGACAATTGTGTTACTGTGAGATCATGTCTGTAGCCATTCACTGACTGCAGAGTCATGTTTAAATCCATTTTGTTTGGAAAAAACCTGTGTATATATGAACTGGAATCCTAGTAGCAATACTTTTTGTCTTTCCCTCATATAATAAACACTCCAGATATGGAAGCTAATAATAAAGTGACATCTGAGATGATAGCCTACTAAAGGATCTTCCTTGTGGTATTTGTATTTTCAAAAGGGCCCTGGAAGGTCAAAACTTAAAAAAAAGAAAAGTACATCCTCTCCTTCCCAAAGTGTAAGTGAATGCAAACTTGGCTCAAGGCTTGGGGAAGTTGGTCCTAATTGGTTCTCAGTTCCCTGTGGTACACTCACCTCAGGGTCAGTGCCTTCTTTATAAGAACGAATGCCGAACGCCATGCCTTCAAACGTGTGATCCACCCGCAGCACAGCCAAAGCCAGCCTGGCCACTGTCAGATTTGCTGTCCTCCCAAAAAATTCCATCTTGTGACCAGCACGATCTATGATCCTCAGAATTCTGCAAGGAATCACAGATAGAGAGAAGTAACCCCACCTTTTTGATGCACAATCCATCTTCCTTACAAGATTTACTCAAGAGTATACTTAGGGGTTTTTTGTTTTGTTTTTTTAAGCTTTCCATGTGAATTGAATGAAGGGCAGGGCAGATCATCAGTTTTACATTCAACAATCATTGCAATGCTTACAATTCCCTCCATGCATTATCAGCTAACAGTATTTACCTCTATTACACCCTCTTTTTTTTTTTTTTTTTTGATGTACACATACACATTGAAAATTTAAATGTCCAAAGGGCACATTTTGCAAGCCAGCCTCCTGCCCACAGGTACACTGCCTTTCTCAGTCCATGGTCCTGTAGTCCTCTGCTGCTCAGTCTCTCTATGCCACCACCTCTGTCACCATCTCTGTTGCCACTGCTATTTTGGTTAAAATCTCTCTCACTCCTCATGTTCTTCCCTCTTGATGGCCCTAGGGTCCTCTGTTCATGAAATGATAGATGAACTACTCCCCCCTTTTAGTTACACCTCCTATACATTACAATTGAATTAAAGAATCCTATCCCCTTTATCACCAGACCCATCTGGACAAGAGGAAAATTATTCAGTGCGGATTCTATCTTATCCTCCTCATTCTGACCATGAGCACCCTCATGAAAGCTTGTAAGTCAGCCATTTTGTGCCTTTAAAGCCCCCCAATTTTGATAGTTGAAGTCTAACTTACCTCTCCCTATCAACCCAGTGTACTGAGGAGATAAGCTTGATATGAAGAAACTTTCCCTTTTGGTTGGAATTTTGGGCAAATTCATCCATAAGCAAAAGGAGCTCTGGTAGCGTAGTTGTTATGAATTGGGCTGTGAACTTTAAGGTCAGCAGTTCGAAACTACCAGCCGCTCCGTGGGAGAAAGATGAGAAACCCTGTACAGGGGTCGCTATGGGTCAGAACTGACTCGACGGCACTCAACAACAACAACATCCGTAAGCAAAGGTCCAGTTCATCAAGTTGTAGTAATTTATGCTTTCTCCTGTATCAAACTTCTTTATCTTCATCTGATTGAGTTCTGGTCAGCAGGCCATCCAAGCTATGTCAAATGGGTACTATCTGCAAGTTAGGGAGTTCTCCCACACCTTCCCTCTCTTCAGACTAGCTGGTTGCTTCATTCTTTTTTAACCCCCCAAGTATCACAATGTTTATTGATAGATACAAGTATATAAAATCAGGGCATGAACATGACTTGATAAATTAAGTAGACTTAATTTCAATACTATAATAAGAGGGACCAATTAAAATTCTTACCATTTGTTTCACACCCACAAAAACCACTTCAAGGGCATTAACGATCTCTCAAAACTGATCAGTTTTGTGCAAGTAATCCATGCTCAAGGATATTAAAATCAAGCACATAAAGCCCATTACTAGGGGTAAAAATACTATTACAGCAACAACCATCAATTACAGTTAAGAATTTTTCTGTAACAACCAAATGGATAACCAAATATTGCAACAACTCAAGTATTACTGAGCAAAGTGCATTTCTACAGTATTCAGTGTTGCTATTCAGTTTTCTAACTTAAAACAGCCTATGATAACTGGCAGCAAAGAAGGTCCTTGCAATAGACTGCTTGAGAACTTATGATGTAATTATTGCATGCTGCTAATAAACTATCTAAACAGCTACAGTGACAGAAGTTATATCTTCATGATGAACCTGACCTATACTCAGAGCGGTAGTTACTCTAAATACCAACAGAGAGGGAAAGCGTCTTCACATCAAGTTATCAATGCTATCCCCTCTGTACACAGAGTAGATAGGGATGGGAAACTTAGACATTGGCTACCTAAAATGAGTGGGCAATAAAGGCACGAAGTGACTGGCTTACAAGGTTTCAAGAGGGAGTTTAGTTTAAGAGTATCGAGCGGGGTGAGAAAGAGTCCCCACTGAATAGCTGTCATTTTGTCTAGATAGGTCTGGTGAAAAGAGATAGGGATAAGATTCGTAATATTCAATAGTGAATAATTGTTATCATGATGAATCGCGACTGTCACAATTATAAAGGTAGAAGTTTTGTAACAAAAAAAGGAGGAGTGGTTAATCTTACCATCCAGAAACAGAGGACCCTAGGACCATCAAGAGAGAAATGCACAAGCAGAACATGGGTCCTTATCCAGAGAAGCAGCAGTGCCAGACATGGAGGCAGAGATGGGGGCATGGAGAGGGGGCGTGGCTAAGGACTCTAGATTCATGGACTAAGAAGAGAGGGACTAAGAGCTGGTGGCCAGGAGGCAGACTTGCAGAATGTGCCCTTTGGAGATGTAAATTATTATATATGCCTGAGTGGTTTTATTTTGTTGTTGTTGTTTTTTAAAAGCTAAAGTGGATAGAGAGAAATACTGTTAACTGATGGTACATGAAGGAGATTATAATCATTGTAATGAAACAAGGTATATGATTTGTTGAATGTAAAACTGATGATATACCCTGTAAACTTTCACTCAGTCCACAATAAAAACCTTAAAAAAAAAATCAGTTGGATTCCTCGATAGTAACAATGATAGCTCTAAAAAGGACATTAGGAAAGCCATATTATTTACAATAGCTACCCAAAGGATGAAATATTTAGGAATAAATGTAACCAGAGAAAAAAAGGATTTATACAAAGAAAACTACAAAATACTACTACAAGAAACAAAAAGAGATTTACAAAAATTGAATACAAAAAAAAACACAAAACCATGCTCCTGGATAGGAAGACTCAACATTGTGAAAAGGTCAATATTGCCCAAAACAATTTACACATATAATGCAATCCCAATCCAGATTCCAAAGACATTCTTCAATGAGATGGAAAAAATAATTACAAACTTTATATGGAAAGGAAAGAAACCCAGGATAAGCAAAGGACTGCTTAGGAAGAAGAATAAGGTTGGAAGTCTCTCACTCCCTGACTTCAAAATTTACTACACGACTACAGTGGTCAAAACAGGTTGGTATTGGTACAATTAAAGATACACTGATCAATGGAACCGAGTTGAGAATCCAAAAATTAACTCATCCACATGCAGCCAACTGATTTTTGACAAGGTGCCTAAATATATCGCATGGGGAGGTGATAGTCTCTTCAACAGATGTGCTGGCAGAACTGGAAACTGATATGCAAAAGATTGAAACAAGACCTTTATCTCATCCCTTATACCCAAACCAACTCAGCATTGATTAAAGACATAAATGTGAACCCCAGAATTCTAAAAACCATCAATGAAAGAATAGGGACAAATGTGAGTGCCCTAATACAGAGCATACACAAATTACCAAACATTGAAAATTACACAAACAAAAGTGGACAAAGTAGATGACTGAGACATACTAAAAATTAAAAACTTATGTGCATCAAAAGACTTCACCAAAAGTGTAAAAAGGGAGCCCACAGAATGGGAAAAAACCTTTTGCAATGACACATCAGATGAAGGACTCATTTCTAAAATATATAGGAAGCTACAACACTTATGAAAGCTGGACAGTGAATAAGCTGGATTCAGAAGAGGCCAGGGAATGAGAGATATCATTGCTGAGGTCCGATGGATCTTGGCTGAAAGCAGAGAATACCAGAAGGATGTTT